TCACTACACACCCTTTCTAGTAATTTTTTTGAATGCTTGGGGTGTGATATTTGCAATCCTACCCATTAAAGGGGATATACGGAAACAGGCGTCATTTGTCTGAATTGATGAAATTCTTTCAATTTTATTATCAAATTTTCATGCTTTTAATTTTGTTTTATGACTTTCGGATGATGTTTGTATCTTTTATCATCTCACACATGGGGCTCATAGCAGCGCTTGTCCAAGTACAGCCCGCGACAAAAGGTAGCACCTCAATATTTTGATGCGTTTGGACTACTTCTTTTATTTTTTTTAAGGTTCAACAACTGCAATAAATATATATACAGTACGTGAAAAATAAATAGGGACACGACATTTTTTCAAATTTTGCCTCTTTTTCTTTCGTTTATTTAATAATTATGATTTTTTTTTTATAAAATTTTATAATATGTCAATATTAAATAAACTGGGCAATATTTGAAAAAATGTAGTGTCCCTATTTATTTTTCCACCACTGCATATGTAAAAAAAATAAAATTTCTAAGCAGAAATTTTAAATATAATGATAGTTTTTAAGATTTGAAAACTTATTGTTAGTTTCTAAAACGATTCAATAAATAAATATATATTATACAAAACAAATATTTTTCTTTTATTAAAGTATAACTCTTCATCTCACAAAAACCAAAAATTATAAAAATTCCATAAACAAAACTGGAAATATGGATTTATATGGTTTTTGTTAGCTAAAGGCCTATACTAAAAAAAAAAAATAATGATGAACATTGAACGAAAGAAGATAAATAGACAAAATTATAAAAATGTTGAGGTGTTATTGTTTTGTTACGGGTTGTAAATTTATACATACAGAATTTTTTATTTGTAGGCCTATGGAATTTAATTCTATATACTGAGTAGGAATCACATTTGACGGAATTTGCTGCACTGAGGTATGTTTTTATTTATATTCAAAAAAAACAGTAACGCAAGCCTTAATTTTAGCTCACTTTAATGACCGGAAACGGATGTACATATAGAGGAAATGACAGCTATAACGGCATTTCTACATAGCCAGGGTGCTGTCAAGGAGTAACCTAAAACGTATGTATGTATGTACACCCTCCTATGAATTAAGCCAGCAAACACGCATAAAAATTATTATTCTTTGTAACTCCTTGAGCGCCGCTTACACTCACCATTCACTCCATTGCCCTGCCATTTTGCTACCCATCCAGCGCCATTTTTATTTACAGACTTCATTTACATACGCCATTTCAATTTCAATTTGTTTTGATGCAGTGGGGACTGGCGTTACATACATATTACATTTATTACATTTGTTTTCTCCATGTATGTGTGTATGTGTGATCGCTACCGTGTCGTACATTGAAGGGTTGCAATTATTACGGTCATTATTCGCTGCTATTGCCGTCGTTTCTTGTGCTCATTTCCACATCCTTCAGAGGAATTTCCTGTTTTGTAATTAATTTTTGCTATATGTTTTTATGTACATCAAAGTGTTTTCCTAACATTTATACTCATACAAATATATATGTAAAATACATTCATACATACATATGTACCATAATTATTTAAATTGCAGTTGCTTGTGGGGTCAAATGGGCATTCCACTACAGTTGTTGTGTTGAAGACACGAGAACAACTTTTAATTTCCTTCGTGTACTCGTACAAAAAGGCGCATAGAAATGCGGCACTTTTAATGATTACTTGTGGCAGGGAAATTAAGTGTTGAATTGTTTCGAAAACTGAAATGTTATTTAAATTAATTAAAACTTACATTGATAAGGTTTCAGTAAATGCGTTTTGTTCGAAACAAAAAGTACCTACTGAAAAGGAGGAGGGTCTGCACGAAATACCGATTGATTACATATACATATAGTATATACATAGCATGTGACGTCTTGCTTATTATCTCAGTGATGTCAATTACAAACGCAAATCGAATTTGGTCTTTGTCCACCGGGGCTTTGGAAGTACATCGCAAGGCTTTCACTAGCTTTGACATAATCAGGGAGCATACGATCGATGCCTTACCATTCTCTAGAACAATTCGGGATGACTTCATAGTGTGCCCAGATTTTTCGGTTGGAGATCACAACGTCGTTTGTTGCCTGAAAGCAGTTTCTGCTGGATGCTACCGAAGGGTCTGCACTTGCTGCAAGTTGCATTGCGTCCTTAGTCGGTTTGGAGCTTTTACGTGGGCACATCAGCGAGATTCCATCCAACGTTAGACAACCATTAAGTCTGAATGTGGCGTGTGTTGTGATGGTTCCTGTGCGAATATCGCATTAATCGATATATCGGAATTTATTCGATGCATCAAATTGGAAACATCAATGTTTCCGATGCATCGGTTAATATCGCGTGTCTCTACTATAGAGTGCCAGTATAGTAGGGGAAATCGCCATGGGTGACAGACGATGGTGTTTCAGGGCATACCACGAGGATTGCCCCAACAGCAACTCTGAAAGGATTTCCCACCACGACTTGTGAAACCATGCCTGCATAATTGGGAAAGGAGTATGACGCCAAACGTAGATTTTACATGTTTATAGCAAGAGAGAAAATTTTCGAGGGAACCACGGTGCACTCTACCGCAACTTCGCTCTCGATGGTGCAATAGGCTAAAAACATCTTTCTAGGCTAACTCTTTCATTGTGGTCTGATATTACTGATTATTAATTTTTGTTTTTGGGCTCCCGTTTACCACCTTGCAGGCATTACCGGGGTAACGGGGTATGTAACCGGAACGACCCAGATTTATATCTGGCCAAGGGCTGTCCTTCCAGCTACACTCCCCAAAAACTCTTGGGGAATTTGTAGCTGTTACAACAGCAACAACATCGCGTGATAATTATCAATGTTCGATCGTGTAAACTCTTAAACAACAAAATTTTTTCATTTCTTACAGTTATGTTCGCCATCGTGTAAACCTCGTTATTCGCTGCGTGTGAGATCTTAAGGCACACTGCCCGGTTTAGAGCTCGACCAATGCCAAGAGTTAAGGCCCGTCCACATACAACTTTGGCGTTGCGTTGGCGCTGGCGTCGCTTTCACAGCAGCGCGAGTAACGCCTGTGCTTGCTACAATGAACGCTTAGCAGCGAATATTTTGGTCACTAAATTAAAATACTAGCGCTAGATAAATCCAAATGTTATATCAATAATTGCATTAAAAACTATATTTCTTGCCCGCATTTGATTAAAAAGGAAATTTATTTCACATAATTTTGATTATTTGGAACAGCAGACGAACGACGCACGCGAAAAGTTGAGAGTTGGCCATCTTTCTGTTTCGCTTTAGCGTTGGCGTTGCCCAACTTTGGTTATGTGGAGACTTTCATATAAATGCACGTATTCATAGTCAGCTGTCGACGCCAACGCCCACGCAACGCCAAGTTGTGTGTAAACGGGCCTTTATGATCATTGCGAGCTTTTTGTAACTAAAGCAGTATTTGCATTATTCAACTTTGCGTTCAACAATTGCGTTCAACTCAACGCAGGGTTGCACGAAAAAAAAGTTGAATGGCTAAATGTTGGCTGGCGACCAACTTTGTTGAAAGCGATTACTTGAAAGGCCATTCAACCAAAAGTTGAATGCAAAGTTGAACAATGCAAACACCTTTTTACGGCGAATATTTTGATATTTTTTCATATTTTGATATTTTTAGCCATTCAACTTTTTTTTCGTGCAACCCTGCGCTGAGTTGAACGCAAATGTTGAATGCAAAGTTGATCAATGCAAACACACTTTTAGACTAGAGAGGAAATACGTAGCGAGCTTAAAACTTTAGATTTGATAAGGACAAGTACGGTGTGAAAGCTCTCTCGCTAATATTGGAGTAGATTAGTAATTATACAAGATCGATTTTATTTAGTGTGGATGTGCTAATAAAATATATAAATAGCTTTATAAAACTTTGCGCGGCAAAATTGTTTTGAACGTGACTGGGTTAGAGCCACAAGAGTAACAAATTGGTTATGAAACCTTCTAGACCAGTGTTGGCCACCACAATGCTCACGTGCGGAGATTTGTGAACTTTTTACACGTTTTGTATAGATGTGCGCAGCCTGTGCGTACTCACATGTAAAATGTATAGGAAGCTCTGAAAAGGTTCACCCGTGGGATAGCTTTTGGTGACAGTTTTAGATTAGTGAAGTGCAGCGCCTTGGTCGTGCCTACGACAGTCCGGTCTACGTAACCGGAACGACCCAAATTTATATCTTGCCAATGACCGTCGCTCCAGAATCACTTCCAAAAAACGTTTGTATGGTTGTGCAAAATGCAAAAACTCCCTCTGCGCTTAACTGTTTTAGATAAACCAATATTAGGAACGAATGCTTTTGGACAACCAAAAAATCGAATCCACTTCAAATACATGTTACTTTATTTATTATCAATTTTCAACATTTCAATTTAAAAGGTACATTCTGTACAAATAGTGTAAGTAAAATAAAATAAAATATAACATAAAATTAAAATTAAGTAGTTTTCTCTTTCTGTTTTTTCAATTCATTTAGTAAATATATATATATATATGTTTTTTTTGCACATTCTCTTGTTACACTTACGCTTCACATTTGCATATATGTACATATGGTACATGTATGTATGTACATACTTATATGTATATGTGCAATTCATTAATATTATAGATATATATGTACATATGCTTATACATGAACATACATATGTAGTAAGTGTGTATACATATATGTATAAAGATAAATACAATAAAGTATATATATTTAATAACAACTTATTTGACTATCAAAAAGGCACCTGAGTTTAATGTATATAAAGTAGTAAAATTGTGTGGTATGTTTCTGTGTGTGTGTGTGTACGTCTATGTGTATGTGTGTTCCTTCCCACTTCACATCCTTTCCGTTTCCGTGCATCCTGCACTTTTTCTTTTTGCTGCTATTAACTAAAATTCACTGCGAAAAAGCATTTGCCTTTCATTTTCTTATACACTTTGTTCTAGAAACGTATATTAGTTTTTAATATAATTTTTTTTAAATTCACATTATTTCCATTTAAATAATTCCCTGATTTGAACGCATTCATTTGCCGTTGACCTCTGCTTATTTCATTACTACTTGCACTTCGTTATATTTCATATTCTCTTCACTTCTCTTCTATTACACTTTACATACTTCACTTTGCTATAGTTTTTCTTGTATGTATTGGTTTTTGTTTTAGTTTTAGTTTTAGTTTTTTTCTGCTCTAAATTGTTTTGTTTTAACTATGACTAGTGTCCAGGTTTTTCTTAGTCGACTACCGCAGTATCCGCTACAGCTGAACTCGCCACTGCTTCGACCCCTACGATCCGTGGCAGCTTCATGTATCCACAACTATTTCCCCAGTTACTTCCACTTTTAATTGGTGGTAATCAGCGGCGAAAGCAGTTGTGTTTGATGCACTGAAGAACCAAGGTGGTGGGGGTGGCAACGGCGGCGGCACAGCTGACGGCGGCATCCACTGCGTGCCATTCTTTAACCTGGCGTCCTTGCATCACATCTTGTACAATTGCGGTGGTTCTTTGGACGATGGCATGCCGTGATCGTACTTGCCCAGCTCGGCCTCATACAACAAATTATTGATGAGATGCTTGATGACAATCTTTGCCTTCGGCGTCTTCAGCTTGCGTATGGTTATGGCCACATATTCGCCAAAAACGCCATACTCATCGTTTGGTGTCTGTGTGTTATTGTTGTTGTTGCTGGTGCTAGCGTTGTTGCTGCTGTTACTGTTACTGTTACTGCTACTGTTACTGATATTGCTGCTGGCGGCATGGTTTGGATTGTTGGTGTTAGCCTTTGGATTTTGATTGGAACTTAGATTGTGCAAATTGCTGTTGTTGCCCGTGTTATTTAGATTATTGCCGTTGTTGTTGTTATTATTATTGTTGCTATTGCTATTTTGACTCTGGCTCTGACTCTGACTCTGTCCATGATTGTGGTTATGGTTATTGCTTGCGGCAGCGAAAGCTAACGCACCGCTCGTGGCGCTCGCAGGCAATAATAGCTCACGTTCGCGCGATTTGGCGCGCGCTTGTGCGTTGGAATGTTGCGTCTGCGTGTGTTGTTGCTGGTGTTGTTGCAGCTGATGGTGGTGTTGCAATTGTAGGTGTTGCTGCAAGTGTTGTTGCAGCGCCAGTGTGGGCTGCTTTGATGGCGAGGCAGCGTCGATGTGCATCGGTAGCGGCTTTCGTTTGCGCGCGCCTACGCTGGAAGACATTGGCAACTCGGCCATCGGTGGCAACTTGTAGAAGTTGACCGCTGAGGCTGTGAGCGGAGTAACGCTACACGAACGTGGGTGCTGATGGTGATGATGCTGCTGTTGTTGTTGTTGTTCAAGCATGACTAGTTCACCAGTGTCGCCTTCGAACTGCGTGTCGATCAGGTAAAGAAGAAAGAGAAAAAAGGAAGGGAAGGTAGAAAAGGTAAAGCGCAAAAGTGAAATGTGTGGATTAGTCATTCTGTGCGGCTGTTTGTGGCTGAGAGAAATCGCTGTTTACTTACAATTTCTGTTTTCACATCGTCCGCGCTGATGTTGCAACAAAAGCTTTGTATATCGGCCTCATAATCGGTGGCAGTCGTTGCGACAGTGCTGGCAGCTCCAGTGCCGAGTAAACCTGCCGCAGCCGTGCCGGTACCCGCTGCAGCTGTGGACCGCGCCTGCAAGTGAAAACCAGTCGAACATGTCATTAAGCTCTCGCTCTAACAGAAAATTTTACAAAAAAGCTAATATTTTATATTTGTCCGTACATATGTATCAGTGGCCTGCACGATTATGTTAGTATCGTACGAGTACGTTATTAACTAACACTTCTGCCGATTACCACGATGCCAAAGTAGCGAAGTTACTCGGCATCGCCGCATCGTCGCATCGTACGATTACTAACAGCGTCGTCGATTAGTAACAGCATAGCAGAGTAATAATTCTGCTAATAAATTGGCAGCGTCTGCAGCGTCAATAGCAGTGTGATCAGATAATCACAAAACTATATAAACTATACTTGCATAGTGAATTTTTTATTTACTTCAGCATAAATTAATTCATAAAGTCATAGAAATTAAAAATATTTCAATTTAGCAGAAACGATAGCATAAAGTAGAATGAGAAATAAAAAAATTCATTTAATTAATTAATTTTCAATACCCATTCGTCCTCGTAAACCAAAAAATTTTATTTTGTCTTAATCCACAGAATTTCCTCTTTCATTTGTTATTCTGCATTGCACTGAATTTTCGGAATAGTTTTTTGAAGCAATCATATCTTCAAAATTTCAAGGTCTTTTAAAAAAACTGACATAAGAGAAAATCTACAAACGAAGTTTTACTATAGTTTCGTAAGTTACAGAAGTTGATTCCTACCATTTATAAATTTTTTTTTGTACTGTTTGATATGCATCAAAATGATAAAACTCTATATAAAGTGAAGAATATTTCTGCCATCAAAAACGGCTTCTCATAAAAATACAATCGCCCTTCGGAGTCGGCGTAAAACTGTAGGTCCCTCCGCTTTGTGTGACAACATCAAGGCGCACGACACAAGTCGGAGGAGAAGCTCGGCCAAACACTAACATATGTGTAAGCGCCAATCTATTATTATTATTATTATATTTTATTTATGTATATAAAAATATTTTTAAAAACAAGTACTCTGGCGGTTTAAAGTAAACGGATAATCCGTTACTTAAATTCATAATTTTGCTTAGGATAAAAGTGTACTGAAAAGTACTGATTTTTTTGGCATGGAAAAGTCTAACGTACTGATTTCGCACATAAAAAATCTGGCAACCCTACGTTGTGGACATAGCACTACATCGGCAAAGCCGACGGCGAAAGCGGCAAGAGTTAGCTGTTGCATCAATAAAAACAACAAAGAGAGCGCTAGCCACAATGTCATGCATATTAATATAGAAATTTTGTAAATTAAATACTGAAATAAAAAAGCAGAGAAAAATTAAACCGATTGCCACCACGGTTGCCACATTTGGTGTTTGTGACCAAAACAGGTAACTTTTTGAGTGCCTGGTAACTTGTAAACTTTTTTTTACTTTGCTTACTTTAGGTAAGTGTATAAAGTCAGACTAACAAAGTTGGATTAATTTGATAAATTGAACTATGGAACTACTAGAAACAATTGCGTTGATCAGCCAACACAGCGCTCAGCAAAAATAACAACCACATATCGGAGAAAATTATGGCTGGGCAGCCTACTCGTTAATTTATGACAGTGTTGGGCGCCTGTCACACGTTCAATATTTATTGTGATATTTGGATCGTTATCCATATTGATCGCGTCAGTATTTACATGTTTTAGGGTCGAGAGGTTTAAAGTCCAATAGATAAAGCCTGGAAATCGTATCTTAATATTCTTTTATTGAAAATCATCTATACTTTTTATTATATTACCACATCTAATTGGTTCGAAATGCAACGCGAAATGCCGAGCCGTAAATTGATATCACGAAATATGTCACACGTTTAATACTTATTGACAGATCTTTGATCCATATATAGAGGAAATGAACAAGTAATTTTTAAGCAAAAAACAAAACCAACTTCCGTTCTCATATACAAATTTAGGATTATCGTTAGTTTCTTCATGATTCGATTATCGGATTTAAACCGAATTAATACAGGACACCTTTCCCCTAAAAAAAGAATTACAGAAAAATAAAAAATAATCCGACGAATTGATAACCTTTCTCCTTTTTGTGAAGTCGGTTAAAAAAAGAGGTTTGTACAGCAGTTTTTGCGGTGTATTTTTGGGTTCTTTAGCGCTTCGGTATATGCACTAAGTCGATTTTTTAAATAATTTTTTTTGTTCTCGGGCTAAGATCCCGTTCAAAAGACAAGAGCTTAAAACGCGTTTTTATGAAAAGTATATTTTTAAACGCGTGCGTTGCAAAAATATTTACATATGTGTTGTTTTTTGTTTCAAAAATGTTTCTCATTTATACATGTACGTATATAGAGATTGAATAAAAATTTATATACGTGTGTAAATGTATCTAGTTATTATATGAGGCCTTGAGCGCTAGAGTAGCTTAACTGACATTTCAAAAAAAGTTGAGATGCACCTTAAAATGCATTACCAAAGTCAAAACGGTAATAGCCCAAGGCACGCCCTTTTGGCGTTCTTTTATTATAATAAGTAGCATCACGTAGGTGTAATGAATTTTTTATAGATCCTTCTTACTCATATTACAATTTTTTTTTGTTTTTTGTAAATAAGCTCCTCTGGCCCTCATGGCCTCATATGTAAAACGAATTTGTTTAGTTTTCTTTTAATAAAACTATTTATTGTACCCATGTTTTATTTATGGCGAATAAACGAGGTTTGTTTTTAACCAACTTCCAAAAAATTAGGAGGTTATCAGTTCGTCGGAATATTTTTTTATTTTTTGTTTTTTTTTTTTATGTATGTTCCGCATAACTTTGGACCACATCAACCGATTTCGATAACTTTGCATCGGAAAGGTAGTGTCTCAGAGGTGGTCCCATACTAATCTGGTTAAGATCCGATTAGTGGATCATGAGATATATATATATATATATATTTTTTTTTATATGAGAGTTGAAATCGTTTTTTTTGCTAAAAATTACTTGTTACAGTTTATTGTTTAATAAAACGTTGTTTTTTACTTGGTAACTTTGTTTGTAAATTCGGGTCGGTAGACAATTTTTTGTCGTGTGGCAACCGTGATTGCGACTACAAGTTCAACAGTGAGTTGTAGCCGCATGCCAATGCTTTTTGGCTTTTACTTTGCCTGTTATTGTTATCTTTGCTGTTGTTGTTACATTACATTTTTGTCGCTTGTTGTTGCATCAGCTTTAACGCGATTTCGTTCGTACTGAGAATTATTTGCACGCATACACACAAAGCACCTATGCGACAAACACCAACACACTCACGCATGTACACGGTAAAGTATTTTCGCTGCCGCACGCTTATCAGCAACTGCAGCTCATGAAGTGGCAGCGCCAGCTTCACCGTAGTCGCTTTTGCTGCCAGCGAACGCTGCAAAGTGCGCATTTCGTTCGAAATTACATAGCAAATGCCTGGTCGGAATCATATATTTGCATACTTGTAGCGCAAATTCGGAGTAAAAGTGCCTTCAAATTTGGATTAGATTTTTCGATGATTTTTTTATTAATCTTCTTTTTTTACTGAAAATTTGAAAACCCAATAATTTGTATAAGGTTTGAGATTTCTTTTTTTGAGTTTTTAGTATTACGCTACTTAAATATCAGCAGATTCTTATGACTACGTTTTCATTTCCTTAAGGTTAAATTAGTGGTGACATAACCATAACCATATACAGCAGCTGTTCCAACCAACCTTATGGCGAACACTGTAAACGATTAGTGTTGCCACACCATAATGCCATAGCCATAACCATAGCCATAGAGACCAATTGAGTTTTGGTTTTCCGCCATAACCATAATCAGCTGATATCTGAAGTGCGAGAAAGAACATGTTACCAGACATTAAAAAAAAAAAAAATAAAATATTGTTCACAGCCACCGCTTTGGCATAAGTGTATAAAGGTAGTAGCAGAAGGGGTGACAGGTAATAAGATCAACGGAAATAAGGTCAATTGACTTTATTTCCCACCCTGGTGCGAAATAAAGTCAGTTGACATTATTATTAAATTTTTGTGAAATCCTTTGCGTGCACTTCTTTTTCTCAACTAAAATTGTCTAATTTATAAAAGCTATTCAACTGGTTTATCTTATTTTATCATTGCACTTTTGTTTGGAAAATGTATGTAGCTTTATTATATTGCTAAATGTGAATGATTAAAAGTAATGACACCTGTTTTGGCTTTTTTATTTTTCTATGTGGCACATTTTGGCACTTTTTATCCTCAATATGGCACCTTATAACTAAGGATAGTTGGCAGCCCTGATTGGAAGATTTCTGCTGTGTTTTGTTGCAACAACTTGTCTGCAGTAAAAAAGCATATAATTGTGTGTTTCAAAAGTATGTGAAAGCCAATCAATTAATTTACATGATTTCGGTTCCGATATTAAATAATCAATAATTGTTTATACCCGCATTTTAGCACATTGGCTCGTTGCATGTGCCATCTAATAAATAGTGTCGTCGTTCTCCTTAGCTGCTTTTAAATGANAGTGTTCGCTTTATTTTTGTGGAAACGAAACATGTTTTGCAAGTTATGGATCATATCTACACTTTTTATTCAAATATTTCTCGTATTCCAGCTGTGCGCAGACGTTTACTTTTTTCGCATCGTGTTTTACATATNGTTCTCCTTAGCTGCTTTTAAATGATGTCACAAATTGCTGGCGGAGATATAAATACAGTGAAAGAAAATTCTTTTTCTANCGTTTACTTTTTTCGCATCGTGTTTTACATATTCCGTAATTTAAATTTTTTTAATAAAATCAATTGGTGGTAGTTCATGATTGTGTGTGGATTAATATCACAACACTGAGGATTTGGCAATAACCTTTTTCATCTATTAAAAAAAAAATTTAGTTTAAAAAACTAAAACCTCCCTATTATAATTGCCATTCGTACTGTCATCACCTATGTAACTTGAGAATAGAAATCGCTTCATTTTTTAGGCGCATCAATATTACATAGTTACATCCCGAGCTAATAAGAGGAAGGTAAAAACAACACTTACGGGGCAATGTTTATTGTAAAAACAACATTTTCTTCTATGAATCGATATACTTTAAGCATTGTTGACGCTATTTCCATTTGAATGAGGAAATAGCGTCAATGACATTATTTCCAATTTTTTTTTTACTTTATTTCGCTTTTAAAAAGATACTAATGTCAATTGACTTTATTCCGCACCAGGCTGGGATGCCATTCTTTCTAATTCTTCCCATTAAGCATTAAAATTACAAACACATTCCTAAAGCAAAAGTTAGATACACCAGTTGTATAAACTATAGAAATTAGAAAATTTTAGTTGAGAAAAAGGAGTACAACAAAAGTGTATTGAAATATTACTATAAGCTCAGTTAGTCTAGACTTTACTTAATTAAACTTACCGTAAGAAATCATCAATGATTACTCAACACGTCAACTTAAGCTTAGAGCGGAAATGTTTTGTTTTTGTATTTTCTTTTTCAGCTATTTAACAGTTCGCCGCCTAAAATGCCACATCAAAAAAATTCATGCAAACAAAAATGTTTGCTTTCATGCATTTTTAGAAAATAAAAAAACGAGAGTCTGGCAAGCCTGATTCTCTCCCCGCTCTCAATTTCCGTAAGGCCGTAATTTAGGAACTTAAAATCTGTTTCTTACGGTAAGTTAAGTTTTAACTAACCGCCAAATTGTAAAATTAAGTGCCACTTGAAGTAAAATAGGGCCAAAAATGGCACGGTTTGAGCCAAGTTGGCAGCCCTGATCGCACGGTGTTATTTGTATAATGAGCTTACCATTTATAAAAAAATATTAATTATTAAATAAAAAAAGAAATATAGTCAATACTGGTCAAGAAAAGGAATTTCTGTCATGGATCCCCAGATTAACATTCCTAATATATACATACATATGTACATACATATATCTCATATAACTTATGTGTATGCTCCTTGCGGCAATGCGCGTCATTCCATTTCTCATTGGGTTAGTGTCAATGTGTCGCTGCATTCTACGACAAAACTTAACGCTACAACAAAAACAAAATAAGCAAATCATATGGCACTGAAAAGCAGCAGCTGTGGTGACAGAGCTCCAAGCTCCACCATTGCACTGCAATAAGGCACACAGTCCGACGAGCGCGCTAAACACACGATAGCAACGAGGCACGAAAGAGGCACACACACACATACACCCAGTCCCAGGCAGACAAACACATGCCCGCACAGCACACGACAGTTAACGTTAACAGACAGCTCACACCTTCGGTCGCACAGCTCATCAGCATAATGCGAACAAGTCAAACCACTAATACAACTGCAGCAACAACAAAACATATGTACTAAATATGTATGTATGTAGACAAACATGCTGACGAAAGTAAGCGTAAACGTGCAATAGCAGGTAATGAAATAAAAATACAAGGCAAATGGAATAAAAATGAAAATGAAATAAATAAACAGAATGGAATATCGATAGCGTGAACAAAAAGCCACAAAACAGTAGTGGTACCCCATATGAACAACGAAAAAATGGCTGCAGCTAATGACAACAGCAGTAAAAATTTATTACCGTGGCCGCGTCCCACTGCCCGCAACCATTGGTGCTGCTGAAAACTCACACACACATAGAGACAAATATTTTAATGTTATTTAATTCGTTTACTTACCGCAGCTAGTTGTTGTTGCTGTTGTTCCTCGATACTCCCAGCGACATTCCGATTTGCATTTGCTGCCGCCGCGGCATTAGCTGCTGCTGCTGCCGCTACAGCTGCGGCCATACGCGCCACCAAATTATTGTTCGCGGACGCCGATTCGTCGCCATCAGCCGCGCTGGCTGTGGCGGCGGCCTGATGGAGCGGTGTGGTAGCGCCGTATGCATGCGACATTGTTGTGCCACCACTGCCGCCTAGCACACCTACGCCACAACCGCCCCCGAGACTGCCCGCACCGCCTGCTGTTGTCATTGTCGCCAGGCCACCAAGGCCCATTGCCAGTCCAGCGCTGCCGATAATTGTCAACGCTGGCGTCGTCATTGTCATCATGGCCATTGCGTTGTTGACGTTCGTATTATTGCCACTGGCGTTGTTGTTGCTTTTATTTTTGTCATCACTATTGCCGCTATGTTGCAAAAGCGCAGCCGTAGTTGTTGCTGTACTTGGCGCCGAATTTGTTGCTGCACTATGCGTAGTGGCTGCGGTTGTGGTGAGCGCTTCGCTCGTTGTTGTCGTTGTCACGTTTGTTGTTGTTGTAGTTGTCACTGGTGTTGCATTGAATAGTTTGCTGTTGGCCAATAATGCCACTGCAGTGGCTGGTTTCATGCCATAAACCACAGTGGCTGGGTGTTGTGCTGGCAGTGTCCCTGCCGACGACAGTGGTGTCGCTGTTGTTTTTGTAGCGCTCACCGCTGCTGCTGTTGCTGCCGTCACACTTGTTGCTTGTGGTTCCACTTTCAGTTCGTCAACTGTGGTTCCCGCCACCGCCGCGCCGTTTACTCCAGCCGTTACAGCGCCGCCGCCGCTGATATTCTCACGCGCACCAGCCAGCGCTGCTGCTTGTATGGCGCGCACAGCAGCTGCGTATTTATCATCCAGTTCACCGCTCTCTCCGCCGCCGTCCGTTTCGTCATCCCCACCACCACCAGCACCACCGTCAACGCTATCGTCGCGTAACAATGTGAGTTTCTCTTCCACTTCGTCAGCCTCGCCTATTGCGCCCGTCGCCCTTGTTTGCGCGTGTTGGCCGCGCGCTGCTGTGGCAGTGCTGCCACCGCCGACGCCACCATTGCCGCCCTCGCCATCGAGTATGAAACGTATGGCGTCGTAAGCAAACCACATGGGCTGGTAGTGGACACCTTTTTGCCTGCCGATCAGCACCTTACCGTGTTCGCGATGAAATGACGAACGTAAACTTTTAATTTTACTGCGTATCGAGCGTATTTCGGTGCCATATTTGTTGCCCAACAGCTTGAGCGCCTCATACTTCGTTTGCTTGATGTGGTAACCCTTCGTGTTGGGATCCCAAAGCACGCGATGCATGCGATAATCTTCGATGAAATCGAGTATGGTGGAACGCGACCACTCGACGCGATCGCTTGTAGGGCTGGGCAGCGATTCGCCGCCAACGCCAAAAGTAGGTGAAAGTGCAGCCGCCCCGCCGCCACCATTAGTTGCTGCCGTCCCCCCGCCTGACGCTAGGCCAGCCGCCGTATGGAGCGCAGGCAGCGCCACCGACAAGGACATGGAGGACGGCGATGGTGTCGGTGGCGCGCGTTTGTAGGTAAGGCGCGCTTTGCGACGACGCCGATGCTGTGGTGGGGGAATGTTGTTGGCTTTCTCTGGCTCAGGCGGGCACACAGCCGAATCGGTGGTCGTCGTGGGCGCTGCCTCAGGGTCAGCCTCAACCTTAGGGTCCCTGCTGCCCCTATCCGCCGTTGTCTGCGACTCCGTTGCGGGGGACGTTGTCAATGTGGTCAAGGTCACTTCTATTGATGATTCTGATTTAGTGGAGCTGTTGGTGTTAGCTGCTGTCGTATTGCTGCTGCCCAACTCGCGTTCTTCACTTTTTTCTACGATAATCTGATCACTAGAACAGGTGGTCGTTCTGCCTAAAGCGTTACCCGTTTTCTTTTTGTCAAAATTATTTGCGATTAACTTACGCGTACTCGCTACGTGCCGCCTTCTACCGCGTTGCCTTTTCGTTCTCGCCAGCGCTGATACCACACTACCAACTGCCACTGCCGCTAGGGCACAGAGACGCTCTCCTTCACGTGTTATACTGTTATCCGCAGTACCGTTGCTTACAGTGGTGGTTCCGCAGTCGTCTTTGTTGCTGCCTGCGAAGTTTGAAATGCCCTCACTGCGCTTATCTTTTTTCGCTGATGCCTGCAATTTTTTCGGTATCACACACACTTGCTGCTGTCGCGGCGTCTGACGTCGTCGCAGTGGACGTCGACTCGTTGCTGGTGCTGTAAAAGGGGCGGGAAGAGACGCGAACCGTTGCTTGTCGATGGCTACTGCAACTTGCGCGTAAGGCGGGGTGGGTCGGTGCTGGATTTGTGGGGTCGCGGGTTTAGGGATGGGAATGGGGGTCGTTTGCACTGCGTCCTGCGTGGCCGTGTTGCTGCTGCTGCGCGTTAGCCTGCGTCTAGCCGCGCGGTTCGTATCACCTTGCTGGCCGTGGAGTTGCCTTCGCCTTGCGCTGATTGCACCGACGTCAACAACGGCTCTTTCCACTCCTTTGTCTATCAATTGAATGCGACTCGCTCCGCGTTAGCCTAGTAAATCGTTGTTGAGCCTGTACACTCGTGTATGTCGCGTTTGTGTGCGCGCGCGATGTTGGGCTCGTACGTACGTCGTGTCGTGCAGCCGTCAGCTGTATTTTCACTTTGTTTTCCTTTTTCTTAGCACTAACTAAATAATTGTCCGAATATCTGCTTGCCTAGCATGCACTCGCGCACTGACACATACTGGCGCGGCGCTTTTGGAGGTGTTTGCAGTTTTTGCTGTGGCGTGGAGCAATAATGCCTGCTGTTGTTGTACTCTCCTCTTGCTACTACTTAGCTTTCGTGTTGTCTACACTGCTACTCTTGTTCTTGTTGTTGCTATACTTGCTTGCTTGTTTTTGTTGCTGTTGATTTCTCTTCCACCACCACGTTTGTGGTTAGTGGCTCATTCGCTCGGCTGCTTGTTTTGCTTACTTGCCTGCCTTTTTGCTTATTTGTTTGCTTACTCGACTGATATGTATTTACACATGTATGTACATATATATGTAGTTAGCTGGCTGACTGACTCGGGCCGCCTTGCTGGCTGTCTGACTTACTCGCGCTTGCCTTTGGTATTGCTTTGCTGATTCCGTTGCTTGCTCTGTTGTGTGCTGAGTTGCCTGCGCGTCCGTTCCGCAACAACGTGTCGTGTGTTGTGTGCAGCCCGCCGTACGTTCGTCGTTCACCGTTGAAATCACGATTTGTACTAATTTCACATATTTAAACTGTGTGTGGCATGCTCCGTCGCGGCTGCGGTCGCTGCGCGCGCTGTCTACTTGCTCCACTCGGTTATTGGGCTGCTGCCGTTGTTATCTTTATTGTTGTTGTTGGTTAAGTTATGTATTGCGCTTGTCGTGGCCGCACTAAGAGCTGCTTTGCTTTGGACAGTCACCGTGGCTGCAACCGACCGTTGATTGCTTACTCACTTTGCCACTGACTAACTTACCTGCATTGTTAACTGCCCGACACAATCTCACTGATTGTTGTTTTTATATTTTGCAACGCACTAGCGTTCTTTTTTGTATTTTAAGTTTCTTAAATATTCTTACACTTTTCTTTGCCTATAAATTTGAGTAGTATCACTGTTATACGTTTTCCTATCAGCTGCTACCGCGTCCGTCGCGTTTGCCTCACTGTGTCACATCGAATTGTCAACGCCATCAGCGCCACCACCACTGACTGTCACTTAACCGTACTCGTAGCAGCCGCGGTCACCTCTAACGCACCATACTCTACTCTCTCCCACAGTGCGCACTCAGCACAACTCTTACTACAGTTACCTTAACACCCCACCTTCCTCCGCCGCCCTCTACTACACTAGGCCTCCGACACTGCGTTTGTTGTTTTTGTTGGTGCTGCTGCTTTGCACTATTCCCCACCATTTGGCACTTTACATTCAACAGCGCTCGCGCCCCTTCGTCCACCCCTGCGCTAATAGCTAGTCAATCCATGCATACACACAAACAAACATACATACGTAAGCTCCAAACTGGCTCTCTTATGTCGCCTTCGGCCTTCGCCGCACGCCTGTTTTGCTTGTTTCATGTCGTTCGCTTTGCTTCGCCTTGTTCGTATCAGTTTTTTGTTTTTCCGTTTATTTATATGTTGTTGGAGCTTTGGAATAACAACGGCACTGGCATTAACGACTAAGAAAAAGACAGCCAGCCACTGCTACAGTAACAAAGTTGAGTATCAGCCAAGACAACGAGAAAAAAGAAAACGACAATCAGGGGGAATTTTGTATTCAGTGCTAGCGCGCGGCAGCTATGTAGTAGCCCCAACTGCATTACAGTGCAGCACAGCGGGCAAAACAAATGCAAAAACAACTTTGAAAAAATTTAAATATGTAAGCCAAGCAGCAGCAACAACGGCAACAATAATTATGGCAATCAGAAAACAGTAGTGGCAGCAGCAGCGGCAGTGGCAGCGGCAGTGGCAGTGATGACAACAAAAACGATAACCGCAACTCAGCTGTGCTTTTCCCCTTCCGCCTCCCACACCATTATGTGCTGTACGCTTTGTGTGCCTCCGCGTGCTTTGTTGTGTAGTGTGGCAACTGTTACCAGCACTGCTTCCTTGCATGGGTAGGTAATATACATATATGTGGGCATTAGGGCGCCTCGCGTTTCATATCATTTATTTTTAATCGGCGGTTATAACGGCAATGTTCACATTTCTTATGCTCTTTAAGGTAATTTTTTAAAGAAAAAATGTGTAAATTGGGTACGAAATGTTATTATGAGTTATTAATGCTTTTAAAAGTGGTGGGTCTACTGGAACCACCCAGATTTGGATACATACATACATACATTTATCAGCCCAAGGACCGCCACTCCAGCATTTCCCCAAAAAATTCTTTGAGGAATTTTTATGTTGTTACAACAAAAACTACAACATGGCCATCCGTTGCACTTTTTCAGTCCTGGAAAGAATGGTTGAAAAGGAAAGACAGGCTGAAATTATAAGGCAAAAGCCATATGGGTACGGTGACCATATTAATCAACGTAAATTAAAGGACATTTTTTTCAAAATGATTTGGGAATACATACATACAGCTTGTATGATAAAAGTACTTTCCCATATAGTAATTTAGCTCAAATATTTACCAGTTAATTAACCGATTTCGAAAATTCAAGGACTTCGCCATCCTTTGCTACCAAAACGCGTTTACCATAATTCATACTGCACGCCAAAGCCAGCACACAGAGGTACAAAATTGGAATTTAATATTCATAATTCTTCGGAGCCTTGATTTTTCAACCACTTTTTACTAAAAACCAAAAAAATATATATATTTATTTTGGTGAACATTTTTTTATATCATTTCAAACATTCTTTTTTTTGTGTAATTTTTTCGTTTTAAAAGAACCATACAATTGTTTTCAACTAGTTTTAGTTATGTAACATTTATTAACTGAAACAGGAGAATACATTTTCTTCAAAATTGCCACTTGCATTTTGCACCAAAAAATTTATTATAATCAAATAAAAATTCACAACATAGGCCCAACTGATCTCTTACAAATATTGTAAGCCTTCATAAAAAAAGGTAATCAAATTAAGTGAAAAATTAAGGCTCCAGGAACCACTGTGCAACAGGGGGTTTATTGTTCACTTTCAGTGGAACTGGAAACTCAGCGTGCATTACGATCCTGGACACAACTTTCCCTGCGCTTAATAGATTGTACAAAGATTACTGATTAAATAGAAACCCGTAAGTTGAGTGCGAAACAAACTGGCGAAGGTTTTCTTTACATTTTATAAGGGACATTTTTATTTTTCATATTCTGTGTTTAAAAATTTACCTCTGAAAAATGCAGAGCTGATTTAAAGGACAGTTTAAGAAATAAAGGACAAAAGGCGTCCTTTATTTTGAAAAAAATTATAAAGGACAGGGGGATAAAATAAAGGACTGTCCTTTAAAATAAAGGACGCATGGTCACCGTACATATGGGTCCCCACACTTTGGAGCAGACGGAAATTCATGGAAAGGGCTCAGACTCGCAGCCTTCTTAAACTGTGTCACATAGATATGGTCTAAATCGCGAGTCCACTGTGTCGGCAAAGTAGTTTCTTGTGATTAACTGAAATAAATTCACTTTTTATATATTCAAAGGACATGTTTTGAGTGAAAATATTTTTTGTGACACACATAAAATGAACTAACTTTTATGATTCACTTGGGGAGACAGCCACGTGTTTGCTACGGTCGGGCAACCTAATGTACATATGTAGGTGAGTCGTTTCGTGGCTGTGTGCTTTCGGTGTCTCCACATGCAAGCCTGCTGTTGGCATACGTGATGTGTGAAAGTGTGCGTTGTCTGTATGATTGTGTCAGCTTTTTCGGGGTCTCCAGTCATTAACGTGTTGTTGTTGTCGTTGTAAGTATGTATGTAAGCACATGAATGTTGCATTTGTTGCCTTTGCTCGGATCGTCAAAAATTGGAAAATCCGACAAAATACAAATATTTTTTTTTTTATGTTGGTTGGTTGGTGTGTTGTCGTTAATGTTTGCCTTACTCATTTGTATAGTGCACTTGCTGTTGTTGTTATTGTTGCGTTAAGGTTGCTTGCGGCAGCTTTTATTGCTGCTGCTATCTTTGTGGTTGTTAAATGTCCCAATGTATGTATGTTTGTAGGTACGTACATTTGTACCTATACTCAAGTACGCGTGATTGTTGTTGTTTGTTTTTGTTGCGCCTTCGCTTTTTCTATTCATATTCTACGTTGTTCCTCATATTCGTTCATTTTTTTGGTTCCTATTTTCATTTTACTGGTATGTAGCGGCGTTGGCGAGTTTGTTTTTGTTGCCGCGGCTCCCCCTTTCGCGCACGCCTGTTGCTGTTTCCATCTTCTTTGTCCAACTACATACTACACATGCTTTCGTGCGATTATTTGCCTCCATATTTATTGCTTTTCAAGTGTGTTTTGCTGCGCTGTTTACATGCTCGCGGGTGCGATCTCTACTTGCGGCAACAAAAAAAATTCGTAGCAGCAAAATTTTTCGAAAAACTTAGCATTAGGAAAAAATCGTAACAACTACAACAACTCAGTGATTTTATTTACTTGTGGGAGCTTTGGAGCTTATATGCGCGCACACACACTCCCCGCCGATGAAACGCACAAGGAACGAGCGCAACGCAAATCGCCCATCGCACTTGCTTTCTGAATCGTTTCATTTTATTTTCATTTTGCTGCGCATTTGTGTGTGCCCGTTCAGGTCTCTCATCGTCACATTCTCACCTCGCGCCGTAATCAGCGGCGACCGACAAACAACGAGCTCTCTAGCTCCAACCATGATTGCCACTCGACAAAATTTTTTTCTACCTAAATCTGTTAAGAAAAGTTACCAAAAGTTTCCAAAACCATTTTTCATTGAGAAAAAAAACTTAATTAAACTGCTATATTTCACAACAAATGTGTACATATATACTTACAGCCCGATCCGTTGCACTTAATAAATTCAACATTTTTATAATTTGTCAATTTTTGATTATTTATCAAGAATTGGGATTTTAGCACAGAAGTTTAAAGCTTTTTTACAAGCTTTTATTCTTGATAAATTATGAAGATTGAAAATACTATTTATAACAATTTGTTTTTATTAGAACATATTTTTCTATCAATTAATTGCTACAAGTGCCGATATTTGAACCGGCGACCCACAGAATAATAGCACCGGCACAAAAAAAAATAATTGGCGGGTGCCTTTAACCAGATGCACCTACCCACATGTATTTCGAATCTGAGGTCCGTTTGGCTCGTACACCCTCAAAATACCCTGTAAATTGCGAAAATTGCGATTTTTCTGTTTTTTTTCAGGTTTTCGTAATTTACTGTACGTGTTAAACGGACCTCAGATTTGGATTCAGCGGGTCTGGTTAAAGCACGCAACTTTTTGTTTTTGTGGTGGTGTAATCAAAACGATTTATGGACCTTACCAAAAATTGCCAGATGGACGAATTTAATTGTACTATTGTCACAAACAGTATTTCCAGCATTAAAATGTGAGCTGGTAGAACTCAAAATTTATCGCGAATATTTGGCATTTTTTTTAGAAGTGTAGCCCGTGGTGCTGTCACTTTAATTCAAATATTTCCAGTATTCGAATATGAGATAACTCTAATTTTATCGAAGTAATTTTGTAGAAGTGCACTGAAACTCGAAGTCTTTTTATAATTATGCACATGCAAAACATAAATCCTTTCCTTCTAGAAATGCAAATAGATATTTGGTTGCAAAAGTTATCAAAATGAAATAAATGTTACCAAGTTACCAAACAGTTTTGAAGTTACCAATTTTGGTAGAAAGTTGTCAATTGTGGCAACCATGGCACCAACCACTGCCACCAGTTGCGGTTTCAATCAAAGCAAGCAAACAGCAAAGCAGCAACACATTACCTCAGTTCCACATACACACAACACTTTTGGATCACCTTCACACACTCCCATATAAATGTGTGCAGGTATGCAAACACTCACGGCATTTATGATTTGGTACAGTGGGTCAGGTTGATTTTGATTGCGAGAGAAAATCATTTGTGACCTCGTCTGATTTCAAGGCTGCTGCCAGAGTGTACATACATATGTACTGCACATTTATAAATCTATGAAGCCAAAGCATCATTCTCTTTTATTTCTAAACTATAATTTAAGGAAATGCCTTATTTGCGCAACTAAGTACCAATTCGGCATTTAACCATGGTTGCGCATATTGGACGTTTCCAACAACATAATTTCGAAATAAAAGAGTGCTTTGGCTAGATGCATTTCTGAAGACAGGGTATGTATTTTAAAGCGTTTCAAACATAACAAACCTTATTACTGCGAGACGTGTGGCGAAGGCACAATCAAAGAGGTAGAGCATGCCTGTTTCTCTGCCCGAGATTTGATACCGTCAGGAACTACATCTACTCTGCGTTTGAAGAAGCTCCTGCTCCAGAAAACATTGTGGAGCCCATAATGGAATCCCAAGAAAATTGGGAAGCAGTGGATAACGAATCTTCGCAAATTCTATTGAAGCTGCGAATCGATGAGCAATGCCGGAAGCGACGTAGTCGAGCAGATGAAGCTATAGCTGCGAATGTATGTATACTCAACGGACGGCAATAGTAAGAACGTACCTAACATGGGTGGGATAAATAGTATGCTAAGACTATGACGAAAACTACGTGGACAGTAACAAGTTAGTGCTATTTCCTTAGACGAACTGCACAATAACAGTAACAAACTTTTCAGACTAGTGCTCAACCTGCCTTTCGCGACGCAAGACTTGACGGTAGTACCGGAAGAGCAAAACTGCACAGCGGACAACAGGAAGTTTTAGTTCGGGTTGAAGTCTCACACTACGGGGGTCAGGCTTTCGATGCTTTCCTGTACAAGAAAAGATGCATTTGTTACCACTTCCTCCTCACTTTCTCGGACATATGTACACAGCTTGAACGACAGAGTTACATAACCTGCTCCATGCTGGTGGGTCTTTAAAGGTGTACTCGTATACTTACCATAGCACCCTGGTCCGACCCCATGCTCGGTTTTGCAGTAATCATTATATCAGATGGTTTTATTAGGGGAAAACGATCCTGAAACTCTTTGTGAGGCTATACATCGG